TTTTATTCTTCTAATGAATATAGCCGAAAACGTTAGAATGATAAGAAATTATTATTAAAATTGTTGTTTTTAAATTAATCGGCCAGGATCACTTTTCGTAACGATGGAATGACTTCCTTATATACAAATTTTAAAGCGATGATTCAAAAAAATCCTGAACCAGGCCAGCAATTTAGCCTGAAACACAGAAGAATTAAAAACGTCAAACATTTCTATTAAATTGATAAACATAAAAGAGACTATAAATATCAACTGTAATTTATTATTATTATTATTCAAAATCAATTTCTGCAATCGAGCTGGTACACATTGCATTTACTTCATCAACATATTTTAATATGTCCGATGTTTTATGGTCGAATTCAACATTTACGATCTTTTGACCAAACAAGTAATTGTTGAAACGTTCGCAGTCAAAAGTACTTGCCAACATCTCGCTGTTGACATTTAGTCAACGATTTTGACGCATACGCATCAGGCTTTTCATCCTGTATTAAAACGGCACCCACTCTTTTTGTGTCAGAATCTACAGAAAGTGTTACTGGCTGTGTTCGATCAAAATATTCTAGCATCGGAGTAGCTGTTATTCCAGATTCCAAGTCATCATATGATTACTATGCACATGTTCTCATGTCAATTAACACATTTCTCCAACAGATTACGCAAATAAGAAAATATATGAAATAAATTTAGAATGAATTTCGTCAAATAAGTAACCGCATATAAAAACCATAATTTACGTCTAAAACACTGAGAATTTAGCACTGGGCATGCATCTGACATCACCTTCAATTGACTGCATAAATAAATGAAAATTTTTGATTGCCTCTTTTAAATCAGTTAGATCAATGCAAATTCTAAGCTTGTTTTTTTTTGCATCATGGCTGTGCTATCAACCCACTCAGTAGAAGTATTTACTTTCTTTATCCCATAATTTTTTTTATTCGACCGAGTTCCGATTTCAAAGAATGTCGTATGGTTTTTTGATCTATCTTTGGAATATCTTTCATATTAATATCTACTAATCAAACCTAATCCGGAGAAAAGATTATCATATTGATCGAATATTGGACCATTATATAAAGTGGTTTTCAGGAGTACGAATAGCTTAATACACTCTTTATGAGACAAATCTTGACTCTGCCTCGACCTCCTTATTTGCGGGCTACGGCCGATGGATATTTGCCAATAAATCAAAAAGATTCATCTAAGCATATGAATGGCTGACGCAGTAACGTTTGCAGTGGACTCCCAGCAGCTCGTGCATATGTCTATGATTTTTTCGAAACCTTTATTGTTGTACCTCTGTGAGATGTTACGCGGTTCTACATAATTCATATTTTTTTATTTACACATCGTTTTCGTTTCAGGACCGTTCAGATACTGGCAAAATTTCTGATCAAATGAATAGGATCCTCAATATCTGTTCATCTGCCAAATTTGTAATTCATACTGCGGGATTAGATAAATTAGTCGCAGATTGAATTTGCACGTACCTAAATGGAAATGCAAATACGCAGATTGGATAAAAAACACATACATACACATGCTCAAGTTTAACTAGCTATATATATATATAGTATTGTAGCGGATGATATTGGAAAATTAATCAGTGTTTTGCCGTCGAATAATCATATCGCAGTGTCTAATCCATTCCGCGTTCAGAACCTCGTACAAAAATAGTATCTTCTGGCGAATAAGTTAAGCGAAAAGGCAGTGCGTTCAAAACGATATAATAAATAAATTGGTTTAAACGTTGCAGCCCTCATACTAGGATAACTATATTGAAAACCGAACGCGATTTTTAGGGAGAACACTGTGACTCTTTTGGTAATAACACTGAGCTAGTGGTGAAGATATTTTATAAACAAGGCTTCAATTCTGTAATCCAAACCTTAAAACTAGATAATCAGAAATTTGTAACCGAATATGACATTTCTAATGTTTTTGTCATAGCCTTTGTTGCTGTTTCAAGTTCGGAAAATTGTGTCACAAACTTTAAATCTCGAAAGCAAGATTTAATTTAACTGAGAAAATACCCAAACCACTTCTCATACAAGAGGAAGTTCTCAACTCTCCTCGTCATACTGGAACTATGATTGCCGTTATATCGATCTTATTTTAGTGGAGGGTTTGAGCAAACAAGTCGATGTCCCGATGATGTCTTTGACAGAACATCTCTATCCCAATTCTTTGATAATTTATACGGCGGTTTAAAAAATGAACATATGGATATATTAGCTAAGCAAGCTACCACTTATTCGAACTTTTTAATGAAGCTAATTCTTTGTTGCCTGATATATTTTATCGAATTTTAATACCGGATATATTGCAAATCATTATCAGATGTCTCCCAGAACTACCCACAATTCATAATTTCTATGCAATTTTCCCAACGCTTCAAATAATTATTATAGTAAGGCTACTGCGCTAATAATATGCTTTTGATCGTTGGATTTGACTTACAACGACCGTTTGCTCCTTTGAACAGTTAATATATAAAGATGAAGAGGAAACGTTAAGTTACAGAAATATACGTGTGTTTGTGTGCAGCAAGACTCTTGAATCACTTAGTATACTTTGAACGTTTGATAAAATGATATCGAGTCGTATAAAATGCGTAGACACAACTAATCAACGTACTATGCATAAGCATTTTAAAAAAAAACTATTTTACATACTATCTTTAATTAAAATGAACATAAAGAATATTCCGTATCGCTGAATAATATAGATTTATTGGTAGTGAAATGAACGATCGGCAACGGACTATGGCATATATCTGCTTCAATCAATCAGATAAAAGAGCGGATCAAATCAATATCTCCGCGCAAACAAAATTCTATATAAAATTCATTGGAAATATCGTATTGGTTTATCTTTTGTACTCATCACAAAAGTCTCGGCAATTATCACACGCTTCATATATTGTCGTAGTCAGGTTTTTCGGTACCTTTGCACTTGTACACAAGAAACATCACGCCATCCTGTAAATGAAACGGTAATATGTTGTTCCAGTATGATATGTTGTAGTAAACACTGGAAGTATTAATTAGCACAATAATTAATTGACACCAACAATGGTAAAGATAATTTTGTTTTATGAAATATGAGCATAAAAATCATTGCAATTAAACACTTGGACCGTACGCTCCACAGGCTATAAATTCCTCTTTGCACCCAAAATTTACATCCACCAGATTATTTATATCATAAAAATTAGTTTCTATTTAATTACGAGCTTCAAGGAAAACTTATGAGGAAACATGTTATTGGGTTTGTGAAGGTACGTCTACATATCTAAAAAATGCCCAAAGAAAGAACACGCGCACAGAGTCAAGAGTACAGGGAGTGATACCTGAGAAAAGTTACTGTCGACCACTGAAGTACCAGCTCATTGTTCAAATATGCATGCAGTAAATTATGTTCCTCTGGGGAAGTCCGACTTTGTTCAGACGGAACGTTACAGAAATTTACAGGTTTGTATTTGTATGTGGCAAGATCCGCAAGCGCGACATCATAATATAGGGATGAGTAGTTGGTCCCACAGAAGCCCAATCGACATTACGATTACACTAAACTGGAATATTAATTGCTTGTTTTTCTCCAAGTAGGTTGGAAAAGTGTATCTAGATGTGTACATATATTCTGATAATTAGTAATATTCTCCTGTATTTTATCTGTTTAAAATCAATATCTACCTTTATTAATCCAGGTATAGAGGACCGAAAGTCCTTGTTTGGAATCAAGTCAGATCCTGTTGCATCTGTTCTTGTTTTCTTATAAATAATTCCACATACGAGGTACATGAATAATACAACAAAAACTCTGCCAGATAAATACATTACAAATGTGAATTGACTGCATTATTTGCAGAACGTAGGAAAGCATACTCCACTAGTATTTTAATTCTAATACAGCTACGTTTGTCGGGAGATATATTTAGGCTGTCAGACCGTCTTAGGAAATTTTATGTTTTCTGTAGACCAAATTTGACTGAATTTACTCATTTAATGTTTTTTTCTTTCTATGATTGATGGGTAGATGACTGTAAAATAAAACTACATGAAGTAGCCTAATAAGATAGATGAATGGAAATTTTGTCCCGACCTCGGCCTAAAAACAATCTTGCAATCGTTGCGTGAGTATAAGATTGAAACAAAATAAACGCATAACTCACATAATTAGAAAAATTGATCCTCCACTCAAACCACCTCCCCCGTTACGAACAGGGCACAATGCAGGCCCAGAAAATTGGAAGTTCTTTTTAATATAAAAAAAAAAATCATTAGTCATCTTCTAGTCTAATTGTTTAGAGTGAAGTTTTGAAAATGCCTAATAAAGCACTAAACATTACAGAATTTTATCTGTGTTAATTTTTTTGTTTGTTCAATTTGCATTAGCTTTTTATTCGTTTAAAAGAGTGTGTTTACATTGACGTAAGAAATTTCAGCATCTCCACAATGCCAATACAGCTTTATTATACAAGAAACTTGGTTTAAGATAGCCCTGTTTCGTTCAGTTAATTTTGCTTTTATAAATTTTTACTTACATAGTTGTAAAACGTTGCATCTGGTCCTTGTGCTGTGAGCTGATTAGTGCTGGTACCTTTGTCACAAATCAGTTTAACAGTCGATGTGCTGAAAAAATAATGAGATTGCTATTCTATAGCTCTAGCACAAAATTGCGTGTATTTGGGTTGTGTGCGTATATTTTGAAATGAAAAAGAAAGTACTAGCGAAGCGATTCTGGTTTAAATAATCTGCGGGTATTGCAATGGTTAAATTCGGAATAATTAGATCTCGATCTTGTTCGACTTAAGGTTTTTTTTCTTTCATAGCCATCTAAATATATTTTTATATATATGTATCTAAGAGAACTATTTCATCTGAATAATATATAATTCGGAGGCAATATGTTCCAGTCTCAACTTGCCGTTTGTTCGTGTTTCATACTTGTTGTGCAATTATATATTATATTTGTGAATATATTTGGTAATAAAATTTGGAGATGATATTAATCAAATATATGGATAAGAAAGTCTTGTTTACCTAAAAGATCGGTGACAAGTGTGGCGGAGGCGGACAAATGTGGCAGAATATAGTTTTTTTTTATATCTTATGAAAGTATTCCTATGAATTACTTTTGAATAAAATAATGTGACTCAAGCAAATTTGGTACTCCCAAAGTATGTGAACCAAGATGGCGGACACCGGAACTTATAGTATGTGTACCGGTGTCCGCCATCTTGGTTCACAAACTTCGGGAGTACCGAAAATTTGGAAAAAAAGAAAAGTAAGAGATTTTTGGCAAGTGTCCTAATTCTTACGTGGTGAAAATTTTCAAATCGGTTTGTCAATGTGAAATTTCAGCAACAACAACAACCAAAACAACACGTCCTCAAACAAGAAAACAAGGATTTGGCAAACAATCCCCAGTTTCATTTCGTGTCCAATAAATGAACTTACTCATAACCATCCGCAGAGGTATACACTATCACCAAGGATCCACTGTCGTCCTTTTTCCACGTTGCCCCCTTTTGCTGTCCTACATCATAATAATCTCCTCCATCGTCGTACTGAAGCATCTATTGAGCAATGGGACGTAGCGTTTTAAAAGGGAATAGATAGAATAAAAAGGATGAATGCTACTCATTTCGTTATGAGACGCTCAGAAAGATGTAAAATAAAAATAATAAAGTTCTTCACCGCAAGTCCTGTTAGGGTGTCATTATCGAAAGGATAGCACGGATTGTAATCATATGTGAAATCTTGTCCGGTTACGCCATGGTATCTGAAAGGAGTAAGACCAGGAGCCGGTAAATGTGGTTATTCAAACTAAATAATTTCACTCGAAATTTATCTTAGGCGAGTTGTCCTTGTCTTTGCACAAGAATGACCAATTAGCAATAATTTGAAATTTGGGCGCTCCAGAAGTGTGTGTACCAATATGGAGGTAGGGTCCAACTAATTTTGTTCGCCTTATTTACATCAAGTTGTGTACAGGGACTGATTACTATGACAATGGGGAGTATACGATTGGGTAACACAGACAGTCATCGAACTCGTGGGTTTGAATAGAACTAAAATAGGGAAAATCAAAATAAAATTATGGCCTAGCCCTAACCTGTTTTTTTGCGGAAAGATTTATAGCATGCCTGCAAACATTACCTCGTTGTAATTGTTTCGCGTACTGTTTGGTATTTTTAATCATATTCCCAAAATGTAGGTATAAATCAAATAACTCAGTGTTCACTTTGCCTCCCGAAACGTTTCAGGTTACTTCCAATGAACAAAAACTTGTCCCGAAAAGGATGTTATAGACCAGGAATGGCGAACCTTTTCCAGTGAGGGGGTTAAAAATTATATGAAGAGAGTGGGTCACATATATTTATTCAAAATTTTATCTATAAGAAACCTCTGAAACAAAACTTATTAGCTTCTGTTGGTGATGGGTTTTTGATAGTTTTGGGCTTTACTTCTATCAGTAACTTATTATGGCACTCGATTTTATGAAATTAGAGTAAGAAACACGCGTACGAATTACCAAAACGTTTAGGATGATAATGTTATATTTTTCGATCAGCTTCCAACCACATTAATTAAGGCACTTTCATACTGCCCCGTTGTTATTTCAGATTTCTGGGTTTTTATTTCAAATCTGAAAGATTTTTTTCTCAACGGCATTGTAGGCGAGAAACTAATAAAATGCGAAGTAGCACCCAGTTCTCGTAAAATTCCTAAAACAGTCTGCAGAATGCAGATGCTTCTCCGAAAGAGACGAGCGTTGCGAGAAATGAACATCAATTGCATTGTTACGTCATAAACGATGTCAGAGCCAAGGTATTGGTCCGGAAATTATCATTTTGAATATGAGAGATCGCAGCCCTGACTGCCCAACGGTACATTATAATAGTTTAGTTATTGTTAGGTTAATTTAAGGCCAGCTTTATAAATTTTTATCACTGATATTTTAGTATTTTTTTTTAAATTTCATTCGTGCCTTTTCGGGTCTTTTGTGACTTTGGGACCCGCGGGTCAGTGGTTCGCCATCCCTGTTATTAGACCATTCCTAAATTAAAAAAATAGGTCGTTTTGAAAGGTATTTCTCGTGAGTTTACATATCCTCAATCAAACTGCTAGTTATGTACTTGTGAACTCGTTTGTAAGCACATAAAATGAGCTTACAAAATCGAAGACATGATTGTTCAATTATCAGATATAGCCGCAGAAACAGATTTAAATATTCTGTATTTCATGAAAGAAATCTAATAGCAAGGATTTAAGGTAAAAATTTATCTAGATATACATATTTTTGCTTTCTACTTACAAAGCGGTGTTATCTTGATTTCCAAATGAAATATCAATTGCTCCACTTCCATCTGCAAGATCACAGGTACACTGATCCGTATCGCCACCCTTACATACAGCCCCTTCTATCTCAATTCCTCCGCAAAAACATACCAAAATAACAATTTTCCAAGCAATATTCATTGCTGTGTGTTACATGCAAGTAATATATGCAAGTAAAATGATCATGTGACGAATTGTAACACTGTTTGTAAATCTCCGTTTGTTTGCATTATATTCATTTGCGGAGCCTTAACTGCATGCAGTTTACCTAACAATGAGTAAATACGGTACGTTACCGTCAGACAATAGTATACGCAAATTAGAAAAATTCTATAGTAGTGAATCAACTAGTAGCGACACCGATATTGCAAGCCATTAATAACAATGCAGTTGCCACACACTTTTTAAGTATGTTTTCTCTACCGACTTACTGTTTTTAACAGACTGGTTGTCCTTGGATTTATTGGCTCGACAATTATGTTCTAACCAATCCAACGGAATACTTCGTGCCTACATGGCAATTGTGGAATACTGTTATTTTGTATATAATTTTTTTGTTGTTGTTTCGTTGTTTTAACAAATATTTTACTCCCAAGGTCCTTAATCGGATATATTTTTCCAGCAGGAAATTCACATATTTATTCAGTGAGGTCGTTTACCACATAGCAGAATACAACATTGTTGTAAATGTAACGTCTTATGTTGCATGATGCCGTAATAGATAGTATGTGCTTTCGTTAGATATGTGAACTCGCAATCGGTTTTAGTCATTTGTATTTACATTTCTACATCAAAATCTTTTTTTCAGATTTCTTTTCGCCAGTTTAATATTTTAAAATATTCTTAATATACCATATTCGTGATATATGATAAAAAAAATTAAAGCCAAATTTTTACAGAAGATAAATTAGAATGTTAAACAAGCAATTAAAGATTGTGTGTTCTACGTAGTATTTTAGCATCATTTTGGAGAAATAATAATTTTTGAAATGAAACGAATGTACATCACTAACTTGATTGAGATAATACTACCAATAGTTTTGCTATTATAAAAGATTATAAAAATGCATAGTATTTATTGCACATATAAAGTGTGAACAGTTTTTTTTTTCTTTTATTTTCTCTTCGGATAATCGTATTCAAATATTATCATAGTCTCTTCCAGACTCCCCTTTGCATTTGTAGACAAGGAACATGACCCCATCCTGTTAAATAAAAACATCTATGGACATCTATCTCTCTTGCGAAAATGAATATGAACCTACTCGAAATTTTCCCTTGTAAATACACCTTATGCAATAAGATCATAAACCACAAGTGTCCATGAAATAATTTTACCGGCATTAAAGTGAATGTTTTATTTACAAAATGAAAAAGAAATTTTTGATAATTGAATTTAAAATAATCAACCTTTAAAATTTTATTGATTTATGCAGCTTCATTTAATTCTTTACGAAAAATTTTTATTACAAAAATTTTCACTCTCGAAATACCTTTATTAGTCCTGGTAACGAAAACCAAAATTCCTTGTTTGGGATCAATTCGGAACCAGCAGCATCAGTTGTTATCTTCCGAAATATAATTCCACCAATGAAGTAGATAAAAAGAACAACGAAAAATCTGAAAATGAGCAAAATTATTAAAAAGAGATGAGTTACTTATCAGAATCGATTCGAATATATATTTCAATATCAGACTTACATGATTAAAAATATTGACCCTCCACTAAGTCCTCCTCCACCACCACCACTCGAACCTGGACATAATGCTGGTCCAGAAAATTGGAAGTTCTGCAAAACAAATTTACATGATGAAGCTATCGACTAAGTTTTTTGGCGCTCCAAAAGTATGTGTTCCTATATGGAGACAATTAATATTTTCGCCTACTTTATATCAAGTTGTGTAAAGAGACTAAATCCTATGGGCAGGGGGTATATTCACTTGGCCAACACAGACAGTACCCGAACTCGTAATAGATTAAAATAAGGAAAATTGTAATAAAATTATGGCCTAACCCTAAACGAGTACACACACTACGAGAGTACCAGGTTTTGATATATTCATGATAGTTAAAACGTTCATTTAATTCGTAGTATTCTTCTGACAAACAATAAAATGTCAGCGAATCAACAAATAAATGATGCGAACACCTGCTACAAGTAATAAGTAGTATAAAATAATCAAGATATAAAAAAAAAACACACAGCCCGCTTATTCGGTCTTGTTAACAAACCACGACATTCATTTGCCACCCTCTCTGGCTACAGTTGTTACCCAATCACGTCTCGGACTTGAATAAGCGACATACCTACTATACCTTATATAAATACCGTAAACCACATCGATAACTAGTTCTGTATTATAAGAATCAAACTTCATCTTTACTTACGTAATTAGTAAAAGAGGAGTCTAATCCTTGAGCTGTTAAGCTGTTGTCCTTCGCTTTATTGTCACACAAAAGAATCACAGTGGATGAGCTGACAGGTAAATTAAATATTTAAATTAAATTTACATTGTCCAGATACAATTTCATTTTGGAAAACTTTTTATTTTATTTTTTAAATCTGAATATTTTACAACTAGACTCACGAGCTTCCGTCTGATGACGTGTAAAAGCAGTTTTAAACTTCCACTATCATTTTTCCATG